AATAAACATGAAAACTAAAAAGAAACAGAAGAAAAAACGATAAAATCCAATGAAAAAGCAAGCCAGTCAAGGAAAAATATCGCGTCCTATCGATTTTCGGGAGGCGGGGTGAGTACGGTAATTGCAGTGACATCTGCCGCATGCCGCAAGGGAGAATGCCGCGATAGGGGAGAAGTTCCGTTACCCCTGGGAACCCTACCCATCCATCATCACCTAACTCTACCATTCATCATCATTCCTGTGTCACTTTTTTTCCTTCAGTGGGTCACGTAAAGCTTCCTTGGTGTCCAAGCCCAGACGCATTAGCAGTAGCACGTGTTGAACGGAAAAAAAGGTCCTCACTTTACAAAATCCCCTGGGGGATCAGTTACCAGAATTTTTTCCGAATCCATGTTCTTACAGTAATCATAGTAGCCTGGGAGACGGGCAGTAGGAACGGTTTGTGTATTCGATCCGCCGCACGCGACTGTCGCGGACCATTTATCTCAGTAAGTTCTAGCGTTCCTCATAGAGCTCAATTGCTATGCGATTATTACTTAAGGCATGATTCTACTATTGGTTCCTTTGTTCCTGAATTTCTTACTTGCTGCTGCACTCTGCTACATTCCGTCGCGCGCGGCGTCTCTCTCACCGCGGCGCGCCAATTTCGTTCCTACTGCACCACACCCTAGTAGCCTTGTTTCTTGAGACCGCCACACAACCATTTCTATTTCACGACATTCTACTACGTAATGGAAGCACAGTAATACTATGTCCATACTTAACCCAGGCTTGTCTCGATCAAAACCGCTTCTTGGGAGCTTCTATTCCGTTTGGGTCTAGGAACGATGCAAGCTAATGTCATAATGTACGGTAGAACATATGTATATCTAATATTTAATATTCACTCATGACATTGGTGAAGACCGGGTTTGGTTAACGTGTCATACAAAATAATGCGAGTATCCATTCTTGGCCAATACAATAACCGACATCGACGACATACATAATGATCGTTTAGCAAAATGGGCATATATCTATCCGCACATAATACTACTATTGACTATTACAAAATCCTATCCGTGGATAAGTATTTACAATTACTTCAGGCAGTACTAAACTGAAGCGAGCGTATTGGATTTTCGTTTAAAGATTCCTAATATAATAGCGGATTCTAAGCATAATAAACCCGAGTTATAGTGAAACAAAAGAAGAAATGATTACTAGAAATTGAAACCTATTCATTTAATTAAATCTACGGTCTAGAACCAATAATTGCATACAATTACACTTACATATTCATAATACGGGTATAGGATACAAACCGGTTACACAAGAGAAATGAGGCACTCGAATCTTTCAATGAAGAAAAATGTGTCTTGTCAGCGTAGACTTCGATACCCCGCAAAAGAGATACAAATGAGCTGCAGCGTTAGGGAAACATTATTATCAGCCCGGACGCGAACCTTGTCCAGGCACCTTATGAGACCAGTCTGCCACCTGTGGGCCCATGGTAAGGTTTCTTCGAGATGAAGTGCTGTATATGGGAAGCACTTCACTGGCTTCAACAGGAACAGCCTAAATATACAGTTCCATCGTTCTCTACTAAGGTATTGCTCGTGTACAGTAGTCTCAAAGATGGGGAATTAGTGGGATAAGAGTGATTCATACTATCCTACTTTTTTCATCGCCTATTGACTATAGCAAGCAAAGCTCATGCGCCGTGGCAACGGCAAGGAGCAACCGTTGGTCATCGATTACTACTTGCAGATTGCGGTCTACGTATAATGCCCAATTACTACATGCATATTCGTTTGATTAAATAACTTCTATCATTTCCTCGTACTTCCATAATTCCTAAGCAACAAACAAGGACAAACCTTCATATATACGCAAGCGTCTGTCCCATATCCCTCCATAGACACAAGGAAAAGATCACCGAGGAAGTAGCGGGCGTAGAGGCGAGAAAGCGGAAGGCCATACCCATAACCAGCCTAAATTTGCAGCAGAATGAAATACCACACCCAATGGAATTGACTTACTTAGTAATTTCGCAGAAAGTAAATGCATTCGCAACGAGGAATACTTACCAGTGGCGCCTGCGTACCATCTCTCGGTGGAGGTGGTGCAGTACTATACATATAGTTAAATAACCGTTCCAGAATTGTCCGAGAAACACCACCGCCGCGGTCGCAAATCTAGAAGGAAACGAACAATAGTCTATCCTCTATAAAGACTTATCAACCGCACAAGCAAGGAAATGGGTACCTTAATGGACAAATCAGCTTGGCCTTTGCACACGAAAACTTTGATGTCGGGAAGATCGTCATCAACACCATGATGTTCGACTGTGGCGCGCATAGCATTCTGTATACAAAACAAAACTAATTTAACGAAGCATAACTTAACGGTGAGGAGGTACCTTCAGCAATTCAAACATTATATGGTATAGGTGACTTGGCACAGCAACAATGGATATTGGCCTGTCTTTATCGACAGCGTTATGCATTTCGAGCTTCATCGAAGGACTCGTAAGGTAGTAGCGGTCGCATAAGAATCTAAATAGAGAGAGATTTGCAATTGTGTTGCATTCTCATTGAAAATTATCTTTGTTGTGGCCTAATAGGATAGCAAAGAATAGGAAGTTATCCCCGTCCCTGTAGAACTCTTGTATAGTTGCGTGACCGCACAAATGGAATGGGATGGAAAGAATTAGAGTGATGGGAAAACCTGACATGACCATGGGAACCGTCGATAACGTCAGACCCCGGCAAATGAAATAAAGGAAAATTTTCGTAACTTTCTTACCTTGCATTTTCAAAAGCATCATGAACAACACTTTCTACATCGCATGCCGGATCGATACAGCCAACATGTCTTGGACTTTCCGGTAGAACATTCCCGAATACGACCTTAACGATGTAATTGCACTATTATGCTGTACATGGGATAGACCATTTCTTAGCAAATCTAGCAGAAAAAAATTCATGAAGAATAGGATCCCCGGGTTTCCAGTGGGTTAACCACCACCATGGGGAGGTCCTACTAGAGGGGTCTCAAACGCATGTCCCTCAGCTCTTTTCTGTCTCGCCCACAGCAGCAAACTGAAGGTTCTCCTGAGGAACTAAAGGAGCGTAACCTATCTTTCTACTCAAAAATGTCTCCAGGGATCATAAGGATTTTAGGAATGAGGAGTAAGTATCACTGATTCACAAATTAATCGGTTCACTCCATATATTGACCAATGAACAAAAACTTTTTCATCTTTTNTTTTGGCATTATAGAGTTTAGATAACAATTCTAGCTATCCTGATATCAATTCTGACAGCTAGTAAGAAATTTACGACTGCCATGATTTCTAGAGCATCTTTTTTTGTGATACTTATAGTCCTGATTGATCACAAATATATGAAAGATATGAAGCGAATCAATTGGTCACGCTGATAAAGGTGACTATTTACAAATCCTCTAGGGACCCGAGAAGAGAAGGAGGGAACACCCTCGGCCTCTTATCTGCCAGTGTATTAAGCCAGAAAGAAAGAAAGAAAGACACTTGAAGATACTTTTGAACACTTCTGGCCTTTGAGAAAAAGTCAAAGCGGCAGATCGTCAAACTCAACGACCAAGCGACATTTACCCATGAGAATATTGCATAATAAAATTTCGCCGGACTACCACATCCCAAAGTTGATCCCTGGGCTTCTAGATAGACTACTCGAGATAATACTTTTTGTCTTGAAAATGCAGGACAGGACAAATGGAGAGAGCCCGAGGAAACAGTGAAAATTACTATTCACGGCAGAGCCACTTAAAATTGTGGACTGCTCCTTCAACTGTTTTCCTAGGTAATGAGTTTTCAAACGATTGAGAAAAATTTTTTGAACATCTGGACAATTGGCATCAAAGACTCCAAAATGAAAATCTCATATTTAAGATAATATAAAGATTTTATTATTACAATCGACTCTAAAATGACGCCGTAGTGAACAATCATAAAACAAAGCCGTGCAATTGAACTGAATCTAATGAAACAAAGATAATAATAAATTAAGGGGAACATACCAAATGTTGATTTTGAAGCATACGTATGGAAATACGATTGATATAAAACCTATCCAAGAAGTACTGTATGCCTGAAAAAAAATCGAGGACGTTGTCACTGTTTTTCAAGTCATAGTTATCATAGTCGATACTATTCAAACTAACCTTTTTCACTGGCGATATCAACACCATCAGTTTCCCTCAACTCGATGAGCCCCTCGGCCATCGTTTCTACAACATGAGCGTGTCTCTTCAATATAGTTTGAAGTTGCTCGTTGAAGCTAAAAAGCACATGCTATAAATATCACTTCCATGCGATAATTGTTAGTTTGTTGTATTAACGAGTATTGTACTATCGACCTAGACCTTGAAAAAAAATAGCACTATGTAATTGCTAGCTCTCGCTTTCCCAAGAAGGAAGGGGATATAGAAACTGAAAACACGTAGGAAGCGCAGTAAGAGAAAAACATGATACGATGATGGATAGAGATTTCGCATCGCAACCATATCCATCTGTTTTTTGCCGAAAAGAAAACAAACATACGCGTCAATGTTTTCCATTGATGCAGGTGAGTTCTCATACTTCAGAAGGTCCTCGAAACTTTCGCAGTACCAACTACTGACCAGTTTAGAACTTGGCATTTGAAGTAGTTTAGGAGGCAGCAATGAGAATTCCTTAAAAGATCGTATCCAACAATGTTCGTTCAGAAAACCCAAATCCGCCCAGAAAAAAATGTTAAAACGAACCTGCATGATATTAGCGAGCCGTACCATGAGCTCATTTTTAAGGAAAGTATAAGATGAAGCAGCTGTACCAATTCGACCAAAGTCAAGATATTGCTGTATAGACAATGATGACGGTTGAAACTGGCTGTAATATCGGTAAATTGTCGCTGCTCTTATGACAAATGAATTGTAATCCATGAACAACATTAGAAATGCTACCAAACTAAGCGAACTAATGGTTCTGCCCATCTCATTTGCATGCAGCGCTTCCTAATTTAATCGTACTAAAGGATATAATTTAAAACGCTTTTTTTGATTGCTACACGTTTAGAGAACCTCCAATATACGAGGAAATGTTGTTCGAATATGTTCAGACATACCCAAATCATTAAAGTCCTTTTTTGGATCTTTGTAAGTCATTTCAGTACCATCTCTAAACACTTTCAGGCACCCACGTCGCGTAGGTTCAAAAATTCACCTTGCTTTCGAGAAAACTTCCCAGTAACTCCTCACCTACACTTTGAGTATATGATGACAGCTCAAGTAGACTATTCTAAGTGAGAGTTTTACAGCTTCCACGCTAAGTTGTATCAAACAACCCCTACTGAAAAAGAACTCCACAAATAATGGCAGCCACTAGACTGAAACACAGCTAGCCAAACCAGTTTTAATGTCCAAAAGCGGATTTTTAGTAGAAACTGCCAAAACGAACCTGTAATGTTCGAGCTTCTTTGCAATAGCTCCAACGAATGGGCCTAATGACCGATATGTGAGACGCATTTCGCCTAAAAACTAAAATTATGTTCTCAGTATTAATGAAGACTCAACAAAATCGATAGCATTACAATTCCGCTTTGACGGCAGTAAGCTTACAACACACAAGAGAAATGGAAAATTCATGACGTGCTGAGAAATCAAAACGAAACAATGAATGCTAAATGGACTTTTGGTTCAAAGAAAATTAATATCTGACGGTTTCAAAAGTCTTATTGGTTAGGAGTTGTCCAGAGTCAATAACTTCGACTAACACTGACCAAACATTCTATGGAATAGGAGAAACGTATCGGGAAGAATAGAGAGAGAAAGAATCTGAGGGGAAACGAGATTTCCTCCAAAGTACGACGTCGGTCGCTGTGAGGACGACGATGCAACTCAAACTCGCCCTCGCCCCGCCCTGAGGCTTCGTCGGCGGCGGCACCACCCCCGTATAACAGCGTTGCTGGAACGTCGACCGGGTGACATTGCCCCGGGAAAAACCCAGTAACAATGAACAGCTGCAGTTGGTTGTTGAGTCACGTTTCAATATTGTTGTCCTGAGGGATAGCAGTGAAGGTCAAACGGATGTGGTCAAAAGTAGAAGACTGTCATTGATTTAGCCCCGGCAGAATAACGAGATGATATCGATTTACAAACCAGCAGGCCCAAGCGGTTTTGGATTGGACCTCTGCTCCGAACATTCCAATTTACAACTTCCAAACATCCACAGTAAGAAAATTTTACTAATATATTAATAAACCACATTAAGTTTCTACCTTTAGGTTGTTAGGATTTGTTGGTTCTGAACAGTCCCATTCCTAGTTCCCCTGTTACTTTCCCTTTGAATCAAGCCATTTTACTTTCATGTCATTTTCATTCATTTCTTTNTGGTCAAATGTAAAAGATTGCCATTGATTTAGCCCCGGCAGAATAACGAGATGATATCGATTTACAAACCAGCAGGCCCAAGCGGTTTTGGATTGGACCTCTGCTCCGAACATTCCAATTTACAACTTCCAAACATCTACAGTAAGAAAATTTTACTAATATATTAATAAATCACATTAAATTTTTACCTTTAAGTTGTTAAGATTTGTTAGTTCTGAACAGTTCCATTCCTACTTCCCCTTTTAACTTTCCTTTTGAATGAAGCCATTTTTCTTTCATGTCATTTTCATTCATTCCTTTTTTAGTTTGTATTGTTCTTTACTCTTTCTTCTATGTCTTCTTCTTGATTTAAATCTTTTTTCTACTCTTCGTAGTGCTCCTATAACTATTCCTACATTTTACAAAGTTTTTCTCAAGTTTTTTTTCAATTCCGCTTACTTTAAAGGTGTTTGTTGACGTGTTGTGCAATATGTGAGTAAGTAAACAAGTAAACAGACAAGAAAATAGTTGAAATGTACGTAATCTATAGAGAAATTTAGTTTTGGAGGTGTCAAAGTAGTTCAGTGTACTATTTTGATTGTATTAGATTGGCAGCTGAGTACTTGCGTATACTTTTAACCAGTAGAATTAATTTTTTTGAAAAGAAAGTAATATTTACGCAGATATGTAGAACGGATAAAGTACGGCGGTACTTTATCTGTGAATGTAAACCCCATTGGAAAACGGGTAATAACCCTCTCGGAGAAATATTCGAATTACCTAGAAAAGTACGCGATCACTGAGTTATCAACCTAACACTATACTTTTAATACATATTGTATAGCGATGAATAAGCCATGTACCACTGTATGTCGCATGTATTAATATTGAATGATTTTATGTGGTAGTACGTGATAAGTTGGTATACTCAAATGTGGTCCGAACGGTTCAAACGCGAAGTGTACCGTTCAGAGTGAAAGGGCACCGTCCCAAACCCCAAGTGTATTGTTGAGAGCGAAAGGGCATTGTTCTGACCTCACCTCCTACTTAACTAAATAGCAGTAAGTATTGTGTAAAAACGGTGTGTCGGCCGGTGAACTGCGAACAACATTACATAGTCAAATAGACTTTGAAGTGGGTGTATTGACCGAGCTGTTGAATGTCGAGCAAAGGACTTGAACGACCCAGCTGAAAAGCTGTGAAGAATGGGAAAGAAGAAGCAAAAAAAANAAAAAAAAGAAGAGGGAAAAAAACATGCAAAGAAGAACGTTAATCAAACATTCTATCAGTCGGCACGTTGCAAAAGTGACAACAATTTCATTGAAAAAAATGATGCAATGCGTCGGTCATTCGGCGATTTATTGCCAACCTGTCGCTGAAGATGTCTACCGTATGACCTGTATATTTGATTGATCGTTTCAGGAACAACCTTTCTGGAAACTATACTTTACTCTTAAACTACTTTTTACTTTGGAGGCAGTTACATCACTGAGAACCGAAATTCCTCGTAATAGTCTACAAGAACTTCATGCAAGACCTTCAGGAAACTTGAAAGTTTTTTACAAGAGGTAATCGCAGCCCCAGAACGGCAATGTAAGATGAACCTTAGCTCAAGACCGCAAATGTAGGGTGGACTCAAACTCTTACCGTAATAACATTGTTCGCAAAGTTACACAGTAATTGAACAGTACGACCACAGACTGATCTACAACGATCAAAAACTATCTTCTTGTATTCATCATGCAATCACTTCTAAGCATATTCTCAACATTTTGTTTTCTCAGTCGATCAATCTTTCGACAAGGCTTTCTTTTCCTACAGTAATCCTACAATTGCTTTACACTACTGCTAGTCGTAAAATAACATGTATTAGTTGCAGGTAATTGTAAACAAAAGAGCTCACAACTGTTCTGTGACACAATGCCGATCACTTTGGAACTAAAAAGACGGTAGGCATTTGAAACTGAACTGTTTTTGAGCTAACTTTCGTATCCTTTACTCCGTTTAGCCTCCACCTGTGGCTCTCGATAAGCCTCAGATAACTTTTTAGCCTCCACCTGTGGCTCTCGATAAGCCTCAGATAACTTTAAGTATCTTGATTGCTAGCGTTCCAGCTAATCGCCTTTTTAGGAGCAAGAAAAAAATGTAGTCCACTTATGGAGCCACCCGACTAAACAACTCAACATTCACCAAAACCTTCGTGATAAACTTCATCATCACACAAAGCCAGGCAAGTGAAAGTACCGTACTTCCTGATGTCCATTAGTAGAGAAAACAGGTCCGTCCGTTCTAATGGGTTACGGACTATTAATCTCTTTTCTGATGGTCGGAATCCCTTTCAATTTGTTAGAGCACCTTTATAAAAAGTGAATGTACCTTTTTTCAAATACTGTGCCATCTAATTACAAAATTGGATTTTTAGAACCACATCGTGTCCATGCACCTCAGTACCGAGAACTGCAGAGCAGACATCTAACAATAAATGGGACATCTAATGAATNTTAGAGCACCTTTATAAAAAGTGAATGTACCTTTTTTCACATTCTGTGCCATCTAATTACAAAATTGGACTTTTAGAACCACATCATGTCCATGCACCTCAGTACCGAGAACTGCAGAGCAGACATCTAACAATAAATGGGACATCTAATGAATACGTTCGGAGAACTTATTCCCTTTTCGAAGGCAGACTCTCAGACGGCTGGATGAAAGCCATTAGAGGTATGGATTTTTTGAATATGTTCTTGGAAAGGAGGAGAAAGATAGACAAACTGAAAGCATGAGGACTAAAATGAGTGAGGACTTCTGGGTTTCTGAGAGTGCTTATGACTTGAAATTCCTACAGTAATCTCGAGGATACCGAGAGTGAAGCTATTTTTTTACCTTCAAAGAGTTGTGGAACGGGAATCGAATCTAGAGACATGTGCTTGTAAGAATAAAAACGGAATGATACTGAAAGGTTTCCCGAAAATGATGGAAACTTAATTGAAATCACGGGAGATAGACTTACGATTGTCATCACCTAATTAGTTTTTACTGTCTCAAAGAAGTGAATAGAGTAATGAGATTTTACCGGTACATCACCACCCATGGTGAAGTGACGGGTAATTAGTACGGGTAGACGTGATGTTTGTGGAAACCGGTTAGTAGAACCACGTAGCACATGGGGTAATTCCCTATCAGAGAGCTACGTAGAAGAGAGGGTCTGGGTAACAGGAAAAGAGAGAATTACTGAAACACTTCCAGCAGTACCCAACTGGTTGAGGCGGTCAACACGACAGTGCACATCTACTGGCAAGGAAACAAGCTCATGATGTTGCCAAAGAATCTTTGGAATATTCGAAAAAGGTGGGTCGATTTATATATTTGGAGGAAAACAAGAGAGGAGCTGGGCTCGTGATGCGGAACCTGAGTACCGGAATTGTGGAAAACTGGATGCTGTGGCGGCATTCCGGCTGTACTTGATGTTTATCACAAAGATCCGGTGGGTACACTCAGAAGGCAACAGTGTTCGAACTGCCATCACGAAGTACAAAAATGTGATTTTAGATGACCTAACTACTGAAAAATTACAATTGGCCCAAAAGGGCGCAGACTGGGCGTGGTACACAACTTTGGTCAGAGTC